CCGGACCAGCGGTGGTTGGTCGCTGGTCCAGACCAACCACTGCTGGTCAGCGGTCCAGTTGGTCTGGACCACTGGTCCAGTTGGTCTTCGACCACTGGTCCAGTTGGTCTGGACTTAAACTGAAAACGAAGCCAAATGTTTGACACAGACGAAGATCAGATCAAAAAGTCCAGACTAGTCGAGTCCAGAGACTGAACTGATCTAATCCACGATCATCACTGGGTTTAATTAGCGATGTTGCTTCTTTTGAGTAGCACTGCTGCCACCTACTGGCTCAACCAGGTCCTGTTACCTTTGAATAAGAACTGTTGAGAAACTTCACGGTTTAATTTTCTCAGAATTAGCCGCGAACTTTACCTTTGAAGAGCCGACCACCGGACCACCTGACCACCTGACCACCGGACCACCTGACCACCTGACCACCGGACCACCTGACCACCTGACCACCGGACCGCGGCCCCGAGCCGTCCACCTGAGCCTCCACTGAACCCAGGTCCGGGTTCGTCTGAACAGGAAGCCGCTCTGATGTGGCGGGATTCGACCAAACTCTGCGTCAACGACCAGAGAAACACGTCGACGGCGCAGGCGCGAAAACAGCAGCCGTAAAGACAAAGACCTGACGGCGACTCGCTCCGTTCACACACACACACACACACACACGCGGCGGTACAAACACCAGCCCAGAGAGACTCACCTCAGGCGGAGTCCAGGCATGAGAGGAGGAGAGAGGAGAGAGAGGAGAGAGAGGAGCTCCAGCCTCCGTCCACCTGCAGAGGAGCAGCAGCAGGAGATGGAGGAGAGGAGCAGGGTGGAGACACGGAGGACGGAGATGCTGCGAGGAGGAGCTGAAGACTGAGACTGAGGGGGGAGAGAGGGAGAGAGAGAGAGGGAGAGCGGGAGAGAGACAGGGAGGGAGAGAGAGGGAGAGAGAGAGAGAGAGAGGGAGGGAGAGAGAGAGAGGGGGCGGAAGAAGAGGGAGAGACGAATTGAACAGCGCTCTGTGCACGAACATAGACATGAGAACAAGATGCCCCCACACACACACACACACCGATAGAGAGTCCAAGATGGAGAGAGAGAGAGAGAGAGAGAGAGGAAGGGAGAAAGGAAAGGTGTGACACAAGAGGAGAGAGAGAGGGTGGGGGTCCATTTACTCCCCCCCCCCCGCAGCACCGCCGCTCTTTAATTGACAGACACCATGATGAGAACGTTGCCGTCACTCACCCACAGGGGCTGATGGGTAATCTGGGTCTGGACCGCACACACACGGTGGAGAGCTGCAGCAACAGAGGGCCCTGTTCACAGTGAGAAGGTCAGCGGTTCGATTCCCAACTCTCACTGATCGGTGTGTGAATGTTGTTAAAGTCAAACAATAAAGTTTGACTGAACTGAACTGAACTGAACTGGACTGAACTGATCTGAACTGAACTGAACTGAACAGAACTGAACAGAACTGAACTGGACCAAACTGGACTGAACTGGACTGAACTGGACTGGACTGAACTGAACTGGACTGAACTGATCTGAACTGAACTGAACTGAACCAAACTGAACTGGACTGAACTGAACTGGACTGAACTGGACTGGACTGAACTGAACTGAACTGGACTAAACTGAACTGAACTGGACTGAACTGAACTGTACTGAACTGAACTGAACTGAACCAAACTGAACTGGACTGAACTGATCTGAACTGAACTGAACTGAACAGAACTGAACAGAACTGAACTGGACTGAACTGGACTAAACTGGACTGAACTGAACTGAACAGAACTGAACTGGACTGAACTGATCTGAACTGAACTGAACTGAACCGAACTGAACTGAACTGAACTGGACTGAACTGAACCGAACTGAACTGAACCAAACTGAACTGGACTGAACTGAACTGAACAGAACTGAACTGGACTGAACTGGACTAAACTGAACTGAACTGGACTGAACTGGACTGGACTGAACTGAACTGAACTGAACCAAACTGAACTGGACTGAACTGATCTGAACTGAACTGAACTGAACAGGACTGAACTGAACTGGACTGGACTGGACTAGACTGAACTGGACTGAACTGAACCGGACTGAACTGAACTGGACTGGACTGGACTGAACTGAACTGAACCAAACTGAACTGGACTTAACTGAACTTAACCAGACTTTTATTTTGTTAACGGAAGAAAAATAACTGAAATGAAAAGCTTTTATTTTGGAAATTAAACTTCCTGCTGCTGTAACTGGAAGATGAAAAAAAAAAAGGTGTCAGCAGAAAAATACTCCAAGGATGAAACCAGAACCAAGGAGGAGGAGGAGGAGGAAGAGGAGGAGGGGGGAGAGGAAACGTTCATGAAGTTTGAAAGTCAACTTTTGTCCTCAGTGATCACGAAGTGACTGAGTCTCAGAGGACGAGGCGTCATCTCCAAGAGAGAGAAGGTCAGTTGGTGCACTGCTGCCCCCTGTGGCCAGTTTGTGTCACTGAGCTCCATCTCAAATCTCTGGGACTTTGGGTCTCCTCTGCTTCTACACGAGCGGGGGAACTTCAGGGTCGTCCACGAACGCCTCAGAAAGGCCTCCACGACAAGCAGCAGGTGGCGCCGACGACTGCGACGCTTCCAGCCGACCGTCTTTGACTTCCCGCCGCTGGACGATGCTGCCCAGGTCCAGAGTTGGACGTCTGCTGGGGTCGACATCCAGACGCTCAGGAACGTTTGGT